TAGAGTCAAACTTTCCGAGTTTATCTTTAGTGTTCAAGACAAAACACTTGCATCCGAATGGGTGAAAATATCCTAAGTTTGGCTTTCTCCCTTTCCAAAGTTCATAAGGGGTTTTGTTCAATTTGGATCTAATCAAAGCCCTGTTGACCACATAACATGCAATATTAATAGCCTCAGCCCAGAACTGTTTAGATGTTCCATAATCGTTAAGCATTGTCCTAGCAATATCAATTAGTGTCCTATTCTTTCTTTCCACAACTCCATTATGCTGAGGAGTCCTAGGAGCAGAGAAGTTGTGGGAGATACCAGACTCATTACAAAAGATTTCAAACTCTTCAGACACAAATTCCCCTCCGTGATCACTCCTTATACTGACTACCTTCAACTGTTTTTCATTTTCCAGTCTCTTGATTAATGTTTTAAAGTTCAGAAAGGCATCACTTTTGTTTGTTAGAAATGTTACCCAAGTATATCTTGAGTAATCATCCACTATAACAAAAGCGTAGAATTTTCCACCAAGACTTTTAACATTGCAAGGACCAAACAAGTCTAAATGAAGGAGCTCTAAAACTCTACTGGTTGAGATGACTTGTTTACTTTTAAAAGTACTTCTGACTTGTTTTCCCTTTGTACAGGCTTCGCAAAAGAATTCTTTCTTGTACTGCAGTTTAGGAATTCCTGTTACCAAATCCTGACTTACTAATTTCGAGAGAGTTCCAATTCCCACATGACCTAACCTCCTATGCCAGTCTAGTTGATCATTCTTATCAACAGTCATTAGACAGGTTTCATTGAACATACTCTTGTCGTTTAAGTCTATACAAAACAGTTTCCCCTTCCTTTTACCAGTGAAAAGAATGTGATTGTTAAAAATGTTTTCAACATAACAACTATCAGGTTCAAAAACGACTCTATTGGATTCCCCACACATCTGACTAATAGAGAACAGGTTGTGTTTTAGCCCTTTAACCAACATGACGTTTTTTATGGAAGGATTTGACCCTACTTGACCTCTGCCTAGGATATCTGTACTGTAATTGTCACCAAAGTAAACTTTACCCTTTTTAAACTTATGAAGATGTGTGAAGAAATTCTCATTTCCAGTCATATGGTGTGAGCAACCGCTATCCAGGATCCATTCACTGTCTTCCATGCCCACTTGGAGACAGACCTGGTTACAGAAGCAATTATTTCAGTTTTGGTATCCAAACACGTTTGGATACTCCTAGTTTTATTTCAACTTTAGGACAGTTTCTTTTAACATGACCCGATTTGTGACACAGAAAACATGACTGGTTTTTTATTCTTTCTTCCCTGGCAATTCTTCTTTTACAATTTGCTATGTAATGACCCCTTTGATGACAGTAAAAACACTCGACTCCTTCTGACTTATTGTGTTTTTCTTTAAGACACGGTTCTGTACTGTGTTGACACTGTTTTCTTTTATTAACAGTGGCTATCTTGTTTTCTAATGCCTCACACAGTTTTTTACATTCTTCTAACTCCAAGTTTACAACAAGTTTGTCATTTAACAGCTTCTGATAGTTTTCTTGTAATTCAAGATGCTCACTTTTTAGTTTGATATGTCTATTCTTGACATTCCCAAATTCAATTTGTATTTCCCTAATCGTTTCAATCATCTAATCATTTTCACTATAGTAATCAGAGTAATAATTGGACAGTGTTACCTTAGGTGCATCGCTTTCTTCATCACTGTTGTCAATTGCCATGAAGGCTTCCTGCTTGCAACTTGGATCTGATTCCTCTTCTTCTTCCTCGCTGCAGCTCCAGGTGGCTGCATATGCTCGTTCCTTTTTCAGTTGAGGACATTCTGCCTTAATGTGGCCTGTGCGTCCACATTTAAAACATCCTCCCTGAGAACTTGATCTGTCTGCATTATTCTTCCTTCCGCTCGTTCTGGAATACTTGAGTTGTTCCTTCTCGCTGTTTGCATCCTTCACTTTGTTGACCAGGGCACCTCTTCTCCTTTCCTTCCTAAGTCGAAGCAACTTAGCCACGTGCTTACTGAGCAGTGCCAGCTCTTCGTCTTCGAATTCTTCAAATGTGTCCAGTTCATCTCCGTGAGAAATTGCTTTGAATGCAATTCCTTTCTTTTCTCTTCGTGAATCTTCACCTTCTTCCCTTCTGAGCTTCTCCTCGTGAGTCACCAGTGATCCCATCAACTCATCGAGACTCAGCTTAGTCAAATCCTTGATTCCTCGATGGCTGTGACCTTTGGTGTCCATCTTTTGGGTAAAGCCCAGAGGATTTTCCTTACCAAATCACCACTTGGATAATCAACCTCCAGGTTTCTGAGACTGTTGACAATGTTCATGAATCTATCATTCATTTCTTTGATAGATTCATCCGGCTTCATAACGAAAGATTCGAACTCTTGCTTTAGGCTGTTTATCCTAGAGATCTTGACATGGGATGTGCCTTCATGTGCAATCTGGAGTTTATCCCAGATTTCCTTGGCCGACTTGCACCCAGTCACTCAATGATACTCTTCAGGCCCCAAGGCGCAGTACATCAGATTTGTGGCTTTGGAGTTCAGTTGAAAATTCTTCTTATCCTGTTCGGACCACCTACCCCTCACCTCCTTGACTTCCAGCGGTCCGTCAAGTACGATGTTCCACAAATCCGGATCTGTGGAGCCGATGAACAGCTCCATTCGGTTCCTCCAGTATCCATAGTTGACGCCCTCGAACCTGGGGGGACGCGTCTGCGAGAACCCGTCCGCCATGTAAACTCCATTTCCATTGCCTGCGCTCGAACCCATTCTCGTCGGAGGTTGTTAAGCCTTATTCGTCGACGACCCGGCTCTGATACCACTTGTTGGTGGATCGAGCGCGAGATTCTCTCCTGCTTCTCTCGAAGGAAACCCTAATTTAGTTCTGCGAAAATCAAATTGGGAATGGTTGAAGTCGATAGCAAAACGTCAGTGACAAAATAACAAAAGAAACAATTACTGAATTGAATGGGCCCGAAATAATGTAAACGAGAAATGGGCTTCAGCCCGCGTCTGGCCCGCTGTTTGATTCCAAGCCCGCTCCTTGTTTCTTTAATCAGATGAACTCTGGTTCAACCCTGTGCTTCGACTGCCTCCTCTGTTCGTCCGAGGTGCCTGCAAAACAGAGTAACCAACTACACCAAGCAACTTTAAGCGAGATTAAATTGACACTGCGAGAACACGATTTTTACGTGGTATCCGGTACTATTTGATTTAGTACCGACTAATCCACGGTCGAAGTATCTCAATCGAGACCTTCGACGTTCCACTATGATCACGACAGCCGAACCCTTTACAGTCAATCTCCTGGCAACTCTCCGTCACCGATCAGACTCAGAAATAGTTCACTCCCCGCAAACCTAATCAAGAATACCTGCTATTCTACCAGCAATTTCCCCAACTGCTACTGACTCTTCCCTTCTCACTCTATCTCTCAACACGAGTACTTTCTTTTGTGCTTGCAAAGACAGAGTCTGAAAAAAGTGCTCTGTCCATGAAGTTACAATTAGCTAAATAGTCTAATTCTGACGACCGTTGTCCCGTGATCTCCTCTTGAATAGTCCGATCTTCCTTTCTTGATTTTCACACACTTTCCTAGTCAGGATGATTTCAACCGTTGCTCAAAACTTTCCTTCTTCGCATAAGAATTTACAGTTGGCATGACCGAGCATTGACAAGCTTCTCACAACAGGGACTAGGGTTGAGCACTTAATTGTTTGTTGTTTGGGTTATGGAAGGCTTCAATCCTAGTGATTGCAGAAGAGGAAGCTTCTGGTAGGAAGTATTGTTGAAGATGGACAGGCGGTGGTGGTGGGGAGAAAGACATTTATTTATTTTATTGTTTTTATGATTTTTTTTAATTTAATTTGATAAAAAATATAAGTATAAAATTTTAATTATTTTCCACCTAACATTATAGTTTAATAAAATATGCCACGCCAACCACTGTTGTTAGTCCAGTCAGCACGTTAACTAACACCGTCAAACAATTGGACGGAAGTGGCTATTTTTGGTATTTTGCCAAAAGTGGCTATATTTGACAAAACCGTCAAAGTTTTGACTATACAAGTGTATTTGTACTAAATATAACCACTTTAATTTATCTAAATAGGGTCCTAGGACCCCACTCCCTTCCACCTCCCTATACAAGTGTATTTGTACTAAATATAACCACTTTAATTTATCTAAATAGGGTCCTAGGACCCCACTCCCTTCCACCTCCCTCCGCCACTAACCGTATATATGATTGAGATCAGATAGCACCGTTTCCCAGCCCTAATGATGCTAAGGGTATCAAAAGAGCAGCCAATATAGATAAGCTATAAGTTCGGTTCCGGGCCAATTCGGGCAGGGTAGTAAACCGACAGGGCCCGCTTCCCAATTCGATAGCTCGAACAAAACCAGCCGAACCGAAGGAAGCAAAGTCCGAGAAACACTTCGCCACAGGACTGTAAATGGGCCACTCTCTGCATGAGCTCCACGTTGAAAGCCCACAAAAAAGCCCAGTAGCCGACATCGTTTCGGCCTTTCCCCTTCCTGCACCTTCCCTCCCTCCCACAGATTTCAAAAAACCCCAATCTTCCTCCCTTACTTCCTTCACAAGTTTGCCTTCCTGTTACTTTTCCTCCAAGCCAAAAAAGAAAAAGAGGGAAAAAAACACACTGAAAACTACTCTGCTTGTTTGTTAAGCACCTACAAACGTATTCACATATCGCGCTGTAGCAACTCATTTTTCGTAGGTACATTGATCGTCGTCATGTATAATCGATTTCGTAGTAATTATAATGTGAACGCAATAAGGCTGGCATCAAATGTAGTAAAAAAGTATTGAAGATCTTTTTCTTAACTAAGGTTAATTGAGATTTTTCCATGTCACTGTAACTGAATTTTGATAGATAATCACATATCTTGCTAGAAAAGTAACAGAATAAACATATTTAATACGCAATTAAATATCCATCCCCAAAAAAACATTCCTTCCTCCAGATTCCAGACGCGCCACTCCTGTTATTCCCTTTCTTGCGCTCCAAACGTAAGGCTCTCAAGCCGCCACGTCGCACTCCCCTCCCCCTCCACTATAAAACCCCGATCTCCCTCCTTCCCCTGTTCTTCACTTCTCCCCACAAAATCCGCCATTAAATCCGATCAAAAAAAAAAAAAAACAATGTCGACAGAGAAGCCAATGGAAGTGGTGAGGAACCTCGACGTCCCGCGGTACATGGGCAGGTGGTACGAGATCGCATCTTTCCCGGCCCTGTTCCAGCCGAAGAAGGGCGAGAACACGAGGGCGACCTACACGCTCAAGGAGGACGGCGCCACCGTCGGCGTGCTGAACGAGACGTGGAGCGACGGGAAGCGGAGCTACATCGAAGGGATCGCGTACAAGGCCGACCCGGAGAGCGACGAGGCAAAATTGAAGGTGAAATTCAAGGTTCCGCCAATCCTGCCGGTGTTTCCGGTCACCGGGGACTACTGGGTTCTCTACATCGATCCGGATTACCAGCACGCCCTGATCGGCCAGCCCAGCCGCAAGTATCTCTGGGTAAATTTCATTTTGTTTCGGTAAAATTTAGCGATTTTCGCTTGATCGAAAGCCTAATTCGGTGAGCTTTGTGGGTTTTTGCAGATACTGTGCAGGAGTCCTCGTATGGACCAGGAGGTGTTCGATGGTCTGGTGGAGAAGGCGAAGGCGCAAGGGTACGATGTCAGCAAGCTTCATAAGACTCCTCAGTCTGATACTCCTCCGGAGGCAGAACAGGGAGCTCAGGACAAGAAGGGTGTTTGGTGGATCAAATCCCTCTTAGGCAAATAGAATTACTTGCGCTTAGGATTTCAGGAATCCCTGCTTTTGAATGAAATAGTGAATTTTAAATTCCCTGTGTGTAAAGGAAAAAAGCCATGTATGCTCTGCTTCTTATGATCGAGTGTTTGTGTTTCCCTTGATGAATATGTTCCATTTGCTTGTAATTTCAACAGAATATATGGTATTGTGTAGATGAGACAGAGGTGCAAAATCGAAATGCATTCCAATGGACGTGATAGAAGTAAGGAAATGTTATAATCCAAACTTATCCAAATTACATACGGCCAAGCTGATCCCTCTTCACTAGATGCAGAGCAGGTCCCTGAAGAGTGAAGACAAGGACTCTGGGGGATGAAATCACTCGTAGGGGAAATAGTCTGCACTCTGCACAAGAACTTTGCCAATATAGTGTCTCTTTGCCATAGCATTGCTAAAGTTTGTGCCTTTGCCTGAAATGGCAAAACTAGGGATTGACAATTTTGCCTATACTCATGTTTATTTTACTATAAACCCAATTGGGTTGGGTATGAAATCCAAATATATGGATATGGGTAAAGTTTGATGTGTTTGTACCCATACCCATTTACTTTGGGTTGGGTTGGGTTTATAACAAATGGATTTGGGTTTGTACCCATGCCCAAATACAAATTACAGTTTGGTACCTAAACTTAATAGATATGCATATTTAGTACCTGAATTTAATTTTTTTTTGCATATAAGTTCTCAAAATATCGATGGAAAATTACGTTTTGGTACCTAAATTTTTTTGGTCTTACATTTTGGTACCTAAAATTTTCAAGTTTTACAAATAAGTCCAATTTTTGCATGTGTAATTAAAACACTCTCAAGTAAATGGATATCCATATCCAACCCATACCCATTTAGATAATATCTATATCTAACCCAAACCCATATATAAACCCCAAACCCATACACACATCACCCAAACCCTACCCATAATAAATGGGTCTACTTGGGTTTGGGCAAAATTACCCATGAGTGGGTAAATTGCCATCCCTAGGCAAAACTACTCTTGTTGGTACTTGCCTAAGTTCCATTTCTAGCCATGGCTATTGTACTACGTAAATGGTCTCTTCACTTGTAACGGGTTGGTTCATAACTTCATATCGGATTGCACTGGACCAATTGATTTTGGACCGAATTACATCAAATCGAATATAAAATGATTTGTTCTTTGGTCTCGTCAACTTTATAAATATAAAATACTGAGATACTTTTTTAATTATTGATCGTGGTCCACTGGTCCTCATGTGTCTGGTCTGGCCCCGAGTGGACCGTTGCACACTCTCTAATAGAAGTTGGTCTATGGCTACGTGCTAACAAGTAACTAATCACATAGTCTCTTATCAAGGATAGTAAAACCGTATCAGAGGCTATACCGCAGAAGTCAGAGATATGAATTTTATGTTGGATCTGATGTTTAATTTTGATTCGGACATTTCAAATTGCTAAATGGCATTTAAAAATGTATACTCCAATAAAAAAAATTATCCAATTGAATCACAGTTACGATAAGGTTTTACAAAAACTCACTCTTACTCAATGGTTTAAACCGAATGAGCTAATCCTATGGAACTAATCCGAGGGACAACAGGTAAATTGCAAAGTTGGTCAGTGAAAGTGCTAAAAACTTCACATTTGGTCACTATAAGTATTTTATTCCATTCGTGGTCACTGAAAATGGTTAAAATTTCACGTTTGGTCACTCTCCGTTAGTATCCGTCAGCCTCCGTTAACACCGTCAGTTTTTTGCTGACGTGGCTAACAGAAACGCTGATTCACCAAATTTTAACGGGCCACATCATAAAATCCATCCCGCCATGTCATATAACCCGCCACATAAGACCCAGTACATAAACCAACCTAATTCAATCCCCACCCGACCTGACCCGAGCCTCTCTTCTTTTTCCTTGTTTCTCCTTCCTCTATGAACTGCCGCCTCTATTCCCACTTTGATTATTTGGGATTTCTGATCGAAGGAAGGACGAGACAATGGAGAGCGCCAACGACGAGTTGCGGGAGGACGACGACTTTCGATCTCCCTCCTTCCAGCTTTATCTCTCTCACTGACGGTGCTCCTCTGCTCTCACTGCGTGCCTCTGTCTCTCTATTGAGGTCGATCCATCACCGACTTTCCATTCGGAGAAAAAGACCGAATTAAAACTTCGCCTCGCCGCTCCTCGAATCGCTGGAGATGAGAAGGTGAGACGACGATTGGGGAAGACCTCGAATTAGAAAAACAGATGGTCGGAGGATTAGAGGGCGTCATTGTGTTCGGAAGATTGGAGGGTGAAGAGGGGCAAAAACAAGCGACATTCATCCGGTTCTCAGCAAAAAAGTCTAGTCCAAGTTTTAATCGCAGATCTTCATCTTCTTGCTATCTCTGATCGTCCATCGCTTGGGGAAAGATTTGGGTGGAGAGGCGCCATTGAGCTTTGTGGGGGAGTCGACAGGAGGGATTGGAAGAGAGAGAAGGGATTCGAAGAGACTGTTGGAGGTCACAGAAGAGGAGGAGGAGGAAGATTAGAGCAGCGCCAAGGCCGTGATGGTGGCATGCGGGGATGGTAAGCAGCGGCGGCGATGGTGGTGGGAAGGTGGGTGGGGTCTGGTCGGTTCGAGTAGGGTTGGGTTAGGGGTTGAATAGGGTTAGGTTATGCAGAGGGTCTGATGTGGCGGGTTAAAATTTGGTGAATCAGCATTTCTGTTAGCCACGTCAGCAAAAAACTTACGGTGTTAACGGATGCCGATGGAGACTAACGGAGAGTGACCTAACTTAAAATTTTAACTACTTTCAGTAACCATAAATGAAATAAAATATTTTTAGTGACCAAACATGAATTTTTCAGCACTTTCCGTGACCAACCTTGCAATTTACCGAGGGACAACTGATGAGCTAATCCTATGGAAATTAACGGCACAACTTTTGGGCTCACGCCATTTCGGCCCATTTATCGCAAACACAACCACAATTGGGCCGAGACCATCCCGGCCCAAATTCTGGCGGTAAATTCAAACATTCCTCCAAATTCAAGAAGCACCGCTTATTTTCTTTCTATCCAGAACCTAAGGCTCTCAAGCCACCACGTCTCCCTCCCCTTCCTTCACTATAAAACCCCCACCCATCTCTTTCCCTTCTACCTCAAATCCCCCATTGAAAAACAGAGCAAAAAAAGAAAAAAAAAAACAACTATCCCGCCCACTGAAACCTTCACAAGATCAATTCCCCCTCCCAAAAATGCCAACCGACAAGGCAATGGAAGCGGTGAAAGGCCTGGACGTGCCACGCTACATGGGCCGTTGGTACGAGATCGCCTGCTTCCCGTCCCGATTCCAACCCAGAGACGGCGAGAACACCCGAGCGACCTACACACTGAAAGAAGACGGCGCCACCGTCGGCGTGCTGAACGAGACGTGGAGCGGCGGGAAGTGGAGCTACATCGAAGGCACCGCGTACAAGGCCGATCCCAACAGCGACGAGGCGAAGCTGAAGGTGAAGTTCTGGGTCCCGCCATTCCTGCCGATTATCCCCGTCACCGGAGACTACTGGGTTCTCTACATCGATCCGGAGTACCGGCACGCGCTGATCGGTCAGCCGAGCCGCAGTTATCTCTGGGTAATGTGTTCTTGATTTTGCCTAGATGGGAAAGCTGTGTATTTACTCTGTTCTTGAGGTCTGGATCTGGAATCAGAAGGGGTTAAAGTATGAAGCTTTTTTTTTTTTTGGTTGGTTGGGGTTTTGCAGATACTGAGCAGGACTCCTCATATGGAAGCGGAGGTGTACAACGAGCTGGTGCAGAGGGCTGTGGATGAAGGGTATGATGTTAGCAAGCTCAAGAAGACTCCTCAAGCTGATCCGGCTCCGGAGGCAGAGCAGGGTCCGGAGGACAAGAAGGGTTTCTGGTGGATCAAATCCCTCTTTGGGAGATAGACAGCACAAGAACGTAGCTTTGCCATTAATGGGTCTTTGTACTTTGTAGTGTGTGCTTTTGAGTGTAATTGCCTTAGCCCAATTGGTAAATGTGTGAGAAAAAGCCATGTTTGTATGTTTTGCCTGCCTCTTTTGGTACAGTGCTTCACCTGAAGAACTGGCCTTGATTTTCATTTCAAGGACACTTTTATTTAATGGTTTTTCAGACTTTTGGTGCCATCTTGGCTCTTGGGTTGAGATTTGTAGCTTTCGGCTGGCTAAATATCCAGGCTGACCTGTTAGTCTTTATCAGAAATGGAAAAACCTAGGCGCTGTCGGGTCTGTGTAGTGCATAATTAATGTTCCATTTCCATCTATGGTCCTGTGAAGATGGTCTTGGGCGTGTCATGTATAGGGCTGGCTATTTGGTCCGAACTGTTTGGTTTTACCCGAAATTGGATCGTATAATTTGGATCGGGACTGAATTGGGACCGAATAGCAAATAATCCAATCTCATATTCGGGCTTAGAATTGAGGTAAAAAATCCGAATAACAGACCCCCAACACCTAAAATCAAAATCAAATTGGTACCGAACCGGGTTAAGATCGGATCAAGATCAGACTGTATTCAATCCAATCTTTGGTCCTTATATTTCCGAAAAGACCGGACTGGGACCGGATCAATTTGATCCAATTTAACTGGACCGGATCGTATAGCCACCCCTAATCCTGTGCAGATGGTTCTGTTGTTAGTGAATTTAATTAATAAAAAATTATTTGTTATTTTTTGTGAATTAAAATTTGCAGTTCAGATATTAACGTTATATATAGTATTTAAATGAGTAATTTTTTTAATTGTATTTTATCAAGAATATCAATGGTAAATAATTTTTTAAGTATTATATATAATTAAATTAATTTGATATAATGAATTTTAAACACCTTTTGAATGTAAAATTGTATACAATTATGTTTGATATGGCGAATCTAAGGGATGTCCAACCTAGATAATGACTCGGTACTCTTTTAGGTTCAGAATTAGTATAGTAAAAGAGAACTGCTTGCTTTAACATTTCTACATATTTGACTAAACTAGCATATGAATCGCGAGACAAATTGAGTGTACCACTAATCCAATTATTCTATTTGCTAAATAAACACAACGATAAATTGATTGTAACACTAATCCAATTATTCTATTTTTCAAATCAACACAACGATACAAATCAGTTTGACGATTTTGGATATAATGCATAATCAGACTGGGTTGGGTGAGGGTCCTGTTTATTTGGAAAATAATTCAAATAATCATTTTATTATAATAATTACCGATACAGTAATTTTGGTGGTAAATATCCATTATCCAGAAGCGCGCCACCAAACCTAAGGCTATCTAGCCGCCACGTGTCCCTCCCACCTTTTTAAACCCTCCTCCTTCCCCCAATAAATCCCCTGTTTCCTCCCTCTCCCCTTATCTCCCCCATTACCATCTCAAACAACCCAAAACCTTCCCCAAATCGATTCCCCCAGAAAGAAAAGAAAAAAAAATGTCGACCGACAAGCCGCTGGAAGTGGTGACGGGCCTGGACATCCCGCGGTACATGGGCCGGTGGTACGAAATCGCCTCCATCCCCAACTTCTTCCAGCCCAAGAACGGCGAGAACACACGTGCGACCTACACGCTGCAGGAAGACGGCGCCACCGTCGGCGTGCTGAACGAGACGTGGAGCGGCGGGAAGCGGAGCTACATCGAAGGCACGGCGTACAAGGCCGATCCGAAAAGCGACGAGGCGAAGCTGAAGGTGAAGTTCTACGTCCCGCCTTTCCTGCCGATCATCCCCGTGACAGGGGACTACTGGGTTCTGTACCTCGACGATGAATACCAGTACGTTTTGGTCGGCGAGCCTAGGAGAAAGGATCTTTGGGTAAGATAAAACAGTACTTTCTGCACTAAGCTTCCCTCTTAATTAGTTTTAAGCAGGCGCTAGGTGTAAGGCGGGTGTTTACGGTTTTAAGTCCGAAATAATGATTTGAGTAGAAACAACAATTTTTAAATTACTTACTTTAGTTCAATTTCAAATGATTAATAACCTAACTAATATTTGAGAGCGAGCAAAATATGTCATGATTTTCTAGAATTACCCGGTGGTAGAGTGTCGGATCGACCGGAGCTGGAGAAGAACGAAAGAGTTTTTTTTTTTTTGGAAGATTAGCTACAAATATTCTTAATCCTTGTCGTCTGTTGGCACGCTTGAACGCGCCTCAATTTAATTAATCAGACGTCACACTGATTAATCTAGCATATAGTAGTCTCATTGACGGTTATGAGGTCTAATTGTCTTGGTTGTCGCCTAAGCAAGGCGAGGTGTTTTGTTACTACCTAGTGGCTTAACATGTCTAGACGTACGCGGAATTACGCTTTAGTTATTGGGTGATTCCTCTAAAAACTGCTCGATTGCCTTTGTTGCAGATACTGTGCAGGACGACTCAAATGGAACCGGAGGTTTACGACATGCTGCTGGAGAAGGGAACGGAGCAAGGGTACGACGTCAGCAAGCTCCACAAGACTCCTCAAGCTAATCCCCCACCTCCGGATGCAGGGGAAGGACCTGAGGACAAGAAGGGACTCTGGTGGTTCAAATCCCTCATAGGGAAATAGCTACACAGAGAAATTTGCTAACATGGGTTCTCTAATTTAGTAATTTCTATGCGTTAGGATTGCTAAAGTTTGTGGCTTTTTGCCTGAAATAGCGAAATTCCCCCATTGGTATGTGTGTGGGGAAAAATAGCCATGTATGCTCTGTTTCTTCTGGTTCGGTGTCTCGCCTGAAGAGGAAGAAGAACTCTGGGGAAGTTCCATTTCTGTCACTATCTATGGTACGGTGTAAATGGTCTTTGTCGCTACTCGCTAGTGTGTGTGGTTCGTTGTGGCAAGCGGTTGGTTTAGTCGACTGAGTGTCCAAAATCCAAATGACATTTCTATGTTATGGTTTTGGCAATTTGGCTAGTGGCTATTTGGGTTGCCATCTGTATCTTTCGAGCGCCGATATTGAGTCTTTGTACTGTACAAATATGGGGACATGCTCTGCAACTCGCAGACCTACGATACAGATTTTGATTTCACAGAACTCACGATCTGTGGCAGAGGAGAATTGTCACACGAAAGGATCTGAGATTTCATATCATGCGATTTGTAATTGACAGGTTCTTTGATCATGCATTTGAGCGCATAAATTGCATTTGAAGAAACAATCCAACCAACCAACCAAATGTGCCTATAAAAGAGAAATTGACTATGGCAGAGCTAAATTCCGCAAAGCTTTTTCTCGTTGTCGACATACATAATAGGTTTAATGAGAGTGCTTTTCCAGCTTCGATTGGAATCCGGAAGATGTTGAAGACGATCGATCCGTCTTTCATTCTTAGGGGCAACATGGGCTTTGGCGGTGACATCAACCTCCGTTACGTTGGCAGCTCCAGCTGTCAATACGAAGAGGTCAGAGTCGAGGCAGAGCAGAGAGTTTGGCTCCAATGATTTGCTTCGGCTCCGACCTGTTCATATTGGTAGTTGGTGATGCCAACGTGACAAAGGTTCAAGTCCTTGTTGAAATTTCGGGATGAGACCATTAGTGTTTGAAATGAATGAGCTTCTGACTCAATAATTTTGGTAGGTTGGTGGATATGATCATTTTAGGTTGATGAAGGTGAACAAGCGGTGGTGATGGAGAGAAGAGAATTTTGTTTTTATTATTTTTATTTAATTTGATTAAAATAAAAGGATAATTTTTTTATTATCTTTCACCTCACATTATTTTTGAATAAAATATGTCACGTCATCGTTGTTGTTAGTCCAGTCAACACTTTCACTCACACCGTCTAAGAATTAGACGAAAGTGGCTATTTTTAGTATTTCGTCAAAAGTGCCAATATTTAACTAAACTGTCAAAGTTTTGTCTACACAAGTGCATTTTGCCTTATATAAATGCGTATATTATAAATTTTGGTGTAATATAAGAGTACTATGCGCCCTCTCTTGTAACATAAAAAAGCAAACCACACATTTTGATATGGACATAAACAAATGGGAAACTATATGAATCTGACAATCAGAACACCCACAATCTCAGATATTTTTGTTGATTTCGGTTGTGACATAAAAAAAATGCATGTATTATTTATTCCATCATCATAGAAAAAATACATGTTTTGTGTTTTATTCCGTGTGTTTGACCCGGTGAAAACAATACTTGTAGTCAACTAGTATTAAACCGGTGAAAGACCACAAAAAGGAATTTGGGTTACCTTTAATTGCTAGTTTAACTACATAAAATACGAACTAGAATAATGTTTTCATAATACTTAATAATTATACCGGTTTCATTGTAATAGACGGGTTTTAAGGTCCAATCCACGGAACAATTTATAATCGTCCTTCCATGACTCCAAACATATATCGAGAAGCTTCATTCTTCATTACTATTATTATTATGACCCGATATGATCAAAGCTGAACATCATTATTCATGGACTTGAAGGGAAAAAAGAAACAAAAGACCATATACTTGGCCAAGCACACCAACGATCCTTGTTCATCACGCAACCCCCAACACGACACCGTATCATCTTCTCCCCCGAGAAACTACGCCTCCCCGCCGTACGCCACCCACGGCGCGAACGTGTACCGCTCCATGCTCCCCACGTCATCCGTAGAGTACGCGCACGCGACGCCGTTTATCTCGTCGCTGTACCCCTCGTTGAAAAATGTCCTCACGTGCCGCTGGGTCCGCACGTGCAGCAGCCCCACCGCCCCCGGCTCGTCTGCTGGAAAAACGACGTCGAACAGCGTCGACTCCTCCCCATCAGCATCCTCCGCCGGCGAGTCGGCGGTGGCGAAGACGAACCGGACGCCGTCCATCTCCACCAGCCTCAGGAACTTGTCGCTGTAGCCGCAGCGTAGGTGGACCAGGTGGGCCGGGTCGGTCGCGGACGGGACCACCTCAAGCTTGACGAATGGGCTCACCGGGTCCATGGGCCGCTTGCAGCCCATTCCCTTGTAGTAGGCCCCGAACTCGTCGTTCCACAGGTAGTGCATGTACTTCCCGTTGGCGGTTGATCGGAGGGTCACGTACTTTGGAAGTCCTGCCACCGTCGCTGCCGCCGCCATTGTTGATGAGTTTAATTTACTGGGATGTCTTGCGGGATTTGGAATTTTGGATCTCCCTCTGATCTGATGACGTCTATATATATATGCAACGAACGGAGCCAAATGCACGTGTTGTGCGTGACTGACCTAATGAAATTAGGGATGGCAACAAAACCCGAACCCACGGGTATCCATCCGACCCAATCCGGTCAACGCGGGTAAAACTCGTGTTGATGGGTTTTGGGCCGAGTTCGGGTTTAAACCCGCTACACTATTCACCGGGTTGGGTTTGGGTTTAGGTAAACCCGCCCCATGGGTACCCGTCCACACATATAATTACTTTCCCGGTATATTTAATATTCTAAATAATATATCTTCTTTAAACAACTAATATTATTTATGTATGTGGAGACATGTATATTTTTTTCTTTCTAATTATTTAGAATGAAGTTGATATTATGGAGTGGAGAGTGAAGAAACTTATTTGACGAGGAAGAAGATTTCAATTAATCTTGTTGTTTATAGATGTTTATCTTTAATTTTGAACAATTTGTATTGATCATTTGCGGTTTGCTTGTATGTTCTAGATTGGTATTTTTTGTATGAATAATTTGTATGAGAAAATTGATGTTAAACTTTTATTTTGAAAGAAATTTGTTATTGTAAATTTTTTACCACAAAAACCCACGGGTACCCATGAACCCGCAAATACCCAACGGGTTGGGTTTGAGTTTTTCAAACCCAACGGGTTTTACCCCGGGTTTTTTTTGGCGGATAAACCCATGGGTTTGGGTTTGACAAAACCCGCCCCAAACCGCCCCATTGCCATCCCTAAATGAAATCACTCTCTAACTGATAAACTCGTTAGAGGGTTTATGGCGCGTGGAGAGAGTTGTATTTGTATCGGTGTCTTGTTAAACCGAATCGCATAGGTTAGCGCGCGGTGTGATGTTGTTTGGATAACGCGTTCGGAACCATAATTTTATTTACTTTTTTTTTTCACTAAAAATATTACACACAACAATAGTACTGTCGACCATACAAATAAATGGCAGAATTCGTACAAATTAACACCCGGTAGAAACTACGCGTATAATTGATTACATAGTCAATAAACTATCAGCAACACCACATTTTATTTTTATCGAAATAACAATAAACTACCTTGAGCTTACATTTTTTAACGGTGCGTCTAAGAAATGCAGACTAGAATAACTATCCACAATCATAAATACTTGCTCCATGTTAAGATAATTTTTTTTGTTAGTATCCTCATTGAATCACGTCGGGGCTTGCCATTAGATTTACCGTTTTGGCACTAGGCTATATTACTGGATAGACATTAGTCTTCCTTTGTCAAAATGACTTGGATAGAGCTACATGTTCAATTGTCCATACTCTTCATAGTGCTTCTTTCCTAGACTCAAAGCTACCACATCGGCGGAACATCCAAACTAGAAAGAACAATATAGACTCTCCGACAGGGAGTTCGTGACTGCCGGGCCTGGCTACGCGGGCCTGTGACCCAAGTGGGCCCATTAAGATGGGCTGCAGAAATATATGGGCCCGGGTTGGGCTCATCGACGATCTTTGAGTTGTGGAGTAGACGAGTCGCTGCGAGACAGTGCAAACTCGCCTTTTTCTGACACGGTCATCCCAGCTCCCAGTTGCCGCGTTAGTGACAAGGAGTCGTGGGAGGTCAGCAACCATAATATAATGGTTGAGAGCCTTCTTGCGGGCTTATCAGAGCAGCATTGGGAGAGGACTCGAAGACTCAGAGAGTGAAGATGGCTCTTGCTCTATCGAATAAATTGGCCCAAGATTCCGACACCCATCTTTTTTATAATCGGTGATAATTAGGTTGTTCACGTTAGAAGTTCTCTCTATACTTTGTATTAATAAGTTGTGACCCAAGTGGGGCATTAACATGGGCTGCAGAAATATTAGTCGCTGCGAGACAGTGCAAAGTCGTCTTCTTCTGACACGGTCATCCCAGCTCCCAGTCGCCGCGTTAGTGACAAGGAGTCGTGGGAGGTCAGCAACCATAATATAATGGTTGAGAGCCTTCTTGCGGGCTTATCAGAGCAGCATTGGGAGAGGACTCGAAGACTCAGAGAGTGAAGATGGCTCTTGCTCTATCGAATAAATTGGCCCAAGATTCCGACACCCATCTTTTTTATAATCGGTGATAATTAGGTTGTTCACGTTAGAAGTTCTCTCTATACTTTGTATTAATAAGTTGTGACCCAAGTGGGGCATTAACATGGGCTGCAGAAATATTAGTCGCTGCGAGACAGTGCAAAGTCGTCTTCTTCTGACACGGTCATCCCAGTCGCCGCGTAGAGCGCAAGGAGACAGTGCAAAGTCGTCTTCTTCTGGGCCCGGGTTGGGCTCATCGACGATCTTTGAGTTGTGGAGTAGACGAGTCGCTCTTGCTCTATCGAATAAATTGGCCCAAGATTCCGACACCCATCTTTTTTATAATCGGTGATAATTAGGTTGTTCACGTTAGAAGTTCTCTCTATACTTTGTATTAATAAGTTGTGACCCAAGTGGGGCATTAACATGGGCTGCAGAAATATTAGTCGCTGCGAGACAGTGCAAAGTCGTCTTCTTCTGAAACGGTCATCCCAGTCGCCGCGTAGAGCGCAAGGAGACAGTGCAAAGTCGTCTTCTTCTGGGCCCGGGTTGGGCTCATCGACGATCTTTGAGTTGTGGAGTAGACGAGTCGCTGCGAGACAGTGCAAAGTCGCCTTCTTCTGACACGGTCATCCCAGCTCCCAGTCGCCGCGTTAGTGACAAGGAGTCGTGGGAGGTCAGCAACCATAATATAATGGTTGAGAGCCTTCTTGCGGGCTTATCAGAGCAGCATTGGGAGAGGACTCGAAGACTCAGAGAGTGAAGATGGCTCTTGCTCTATCGAATAAATTGGCCCAAGATTTCGACACCCATCTTTTTTATAATCGGTGATAATTAGGTTGTTCACGTTAGAAGTTCTCTCTATACTTTGTATTAATAAGTTGTGACCCAAGTGGGGCATTAACATGGGCTGCAGAAATATAAGTCGCTGCGAGACAGTGCAAAGTCGTCTTCTTCTGACACGGTCATCCCAGTCGCCGCGTAGAGCGCAAGGAGTCGTGGGAGGTGATAATTAGGTTGTTCACATTAAAAGTTCTCTCTATACTTTTGTATTAATAAGTTGTTTATCAGAGCAGCATCGGGAGAGGACTCCAAGACTAGGGAGTGAAGAGAGATCTTGCTCTATCAAAAAAAATTGGCCCAAGATTCCGACACCCATCTTTTTATAATCGATGATAATTATATTGTTCACGTTAAAAGTTCTCTCTATACTTTTGTATTAATAAGTTGTTTAACGCTCGTTTTATAATCGGTTGTTCACCGTCATAGATCCCCTCTACACTTTTATATTAATAAGTTGTTCCCGTCTCTCTATACTTGTGTATTAATAAGTTGTTTATCACCGCTCGTTTTTAATCGATGATAATCAAGTTGTTCACCGTCATAGATCTCTCTATACTTTAGTATTAATAAGTTGCTCCCATTTTATAATCGATGATAATCAAGTTGTTTCCCGTCATAGATCTGTCTATATATACTTTTGTATTAATAAGTTGTTTATTATCAAGAATAATCAATTGCTAAATGTAGAAGCACAGTCTCGTCTATCCCTCTGGGAAGTATGAGTTGTCTGACCCACCTCCTGGTTTAGTTCATGTGTTGCAGGATGATGCTAGAGGTGTCACTTTTGAGCGCCGCGTGGTGGCGAATTCTTCCTCCCTCATCTAATCTCTCCCTGTAACCGTTCTTTTTCTTGGCTTTGGCCTCCTTGATATGCAAAAAAAAAAAAAAATGTAGTATCAGTAATAAGTTGTTCATAATTGATAATCATAATGTCGCTAGGGTTAGGAATAGGTCATGAATAAGTTGTTCATCATCGATAATCATAGAATATAATCATTACGGTTATAAAGAAATATTGTGTAGAGCAAAATCTATGCTCAAATTGCTTTGCTGTAGTATGGTTGTTAAGGATGACGGCTTATATATTTTGGCAAAGTCGTGTTCTTACTTCCATGTGTTTCTTTTGCCTGCCCTTCATTTTCTTCTTCTCTTTTGTAAACCTCCACACGTTGATAGGTCTTCTCGCCGTTCTTTGTTGTCATTTGGGTTTTCGGTTCACAATTGATCAAATAAAAAATAAAAATAAACACTTTAAATTGCCGATACCAAGCATCCTATCAGATACGACTACGAATTTTGATTTGCAATTGGAATCTTACAAAAGGAAATAAAATGACTATTGTCCAAAGTAACTAAAATTGGGTAATAGAGAGTGTCATATCCTGCCATTACATGCTCCCAATCTGATCACGAAGCTTACTCATGTAGAGATGGGGGAACCGAGAGCAGGAGCACACAGGTCATATTCGGAGAATCAATACGAATCAAGATCATATTCGACCCGATCATTCATGATTCGTATTGATTCTCCGAAATTCAAGATCATATTCGACCCGAGCATATTTGATCCGTATAGTGTAGAAACCAAATAGCTGCAAACTGACAATCTTTATTCAACACTAATTCGAAGTATATATACAGAGCACTTACTTCCCACTCCCATCACTCTCGGAATCTCTATGTTTACCACTAACCCTCACCCCACAAATATAGCTAAACTAGTTAACAAACTTAGACCCAGTAAACACAAGAGTCTGCAAGCTAATCACTTAACTACTTGGACTTACTCGTGCTTGCTCACGTGACTCACTTATCTAACATATCCTCCCCTAAACTGAAGCAGATGCAAGCCTTCAGTTTATTATACAAAAAAACATTTTCTGCAGCAACATTAAACAAGTTGAAACAACAGCCTTTAATTTACTCCGTTGTAACATATTCTGCAGCAACATCACCAGAGAACAGTA